GGGGTGTGCACTCCCCCCCCCCCCCCCCCCCCTTATACATCCTGCCCACTTCTTTCTTTATTCCAGATCACCCTGTTTCTTCTCCCTTTTACTGCACTTTCTTCCTCATGTCTTTCCTCCTCCCCTTTCTTTGGTCCCATCAAGCCATGCTCTTGAGCTGAGAGGAAGAAGAGAAGCCGTGGTGCTTCCTACTCCCTTAGCAGCCCAGAACACGTGGGTGGACAGATCTAGTGGGTCTGAACCCACAGCCATCCCACGGCAGCCGAGCCCAGGCAGTGGGATGGGTTCCACTTGACTTCTCCACATGTATTTGTGCTTACTTCCATGACTGAATTTGTCCCCTCAGGAGCTGGTGAATCCGGAAAGAGTACAATCGTTAAGCAAATGAAGTAAGTGTAATTAGACCCACCCCCCAACCTTAGACCCTTCCCTATAACACCTCCTCTTGGGAGAGCCTGGGGCTGGAGTAGCCAGGAGTACCCCATAGCCAGCACTCTATCCCATTCCCAAGAACCAAGCTTTAAGATGGGATTTTCAGCATTAGCCCCAATCTGGGTAGCACAGGGCCCTTTCCTGATCCGTAGATGTCCCTGTGGTGCCAATTGTGACATGGCAGCATGTAATGTGTGCTTCTGGGAGACACCATTTCCCTCAGTGCCCCAGGAAATGCTTTCTCAGCCTCCCACTGCAACCTGGTGAAACCCTGACTGCCTATACCCACTACCATGGCATTCCTTCTTGGTCCCTGTAATGTTCAGCTAGTGGGACATTCAAGTCCATGAGCCAGGCAAGATGCCCTTAGTACTTTGCTGAGCATTGGTGGGAGTCCCAGCAGCAGAGCCTGTGGCTCACTCCGAGCTCACCACCGACTCCTGTTCCTGACAGAATTATCCACCAAGATGGTTACTCCCTGGAAGAGTGCTTGGAGTTCATCAGCATCATTTACAGCAACACTCTGCAGTCCATATTGGCCATTGTGCGTGCCATGAACACGCTGAACATCCAGTATGGGGACTCAGCCAAGCAGGTGAGTCACTGGGGTGAGGTGGGGTGGGGATCAGTGCGCACCCCACTGTGGGGCTCTCTGTCCCATGCGTGGGGTGCAGAAGGAGTTAGTGAAGCTGCTCCAACTCTGCCTAAATAGTCAGCTCTAGCTCAGCCAGGAGAAGCCTGTGCCTTTGATCCTCAGGTCATGTCCTTGTCACTAACAGCCCACCCTCAGCTACGGTGCTTCCCCAGTCTTCTGGGTGTCTCACTCCTGGTCCCTTGGGGCAGCTGGAAGCAGCTAACACAACTGTGCTCTCCTGCAGGATGATGCCCGTAAGCTGCTCCACTTGTCTGACACTATCGAGGAGGGTACCATGCCCAAAGAGATGTCTGATATCATCATCCGCCTCTGGAAGGACACTGGCATCCAGGCCTGTTTCGACCGCGCCTCTGAGTACCAGCTGAATGACTCAGCCGGCTAGTACGAGCCTCCCTTTGTATCTCCCTAGGCAGATGGTCTCTAGGTAGCACTGGGCCCACAGGATGTCTCATGTAGTTGTGGCCTTTGGAAGGGGAGTAACTAGCTGACCCTATCAGAAGACTGAGCAATTCAAGAAGCTTTACAACCAGTGAGCTGCCTGCTTCCCTTTTGGTGATGGAGAGAGAGTCCCTGACCCTGGTGACAACTCCAGACACATTCTCCTGGCCCAGGCTCACACTAGGTCAGCCCTGAGCCCCAGCAAATCATGGCCAGTAAGGGAGGAGACAGGAACACCAGGGTACAGGTTGAGGATGGGAGAGGGCATAGTGCAGGGTGCTACTGGGATTCTGGGTTGTGGGACTCCCAAGAAGCCCCTCAGCAGTGCTTGGGTAGCTGCCACAGCTCTAAGGGTGATGTTCTAGTCTTTTCTGGATACCTAGGTGACCAGGTTTGGTTTTCACTTACACACAGATTGGCATTCTCTTTCTGTACATGAATGGCTCTGTATATGCCTGGAAATAAAATGCCAATTTGTAAGTGGCATTTTGGGGGATTGGACCAAGTAGATGATCAAATCGAGTTATCTAGGCATCCAGAAAGGGATATAATGCCACCCTCTCTCCTGAAGACAGAATGAGCAGTTAGAAAAACTTCTGCTCCTCAGCTGTTTCCTGGAGGCACAGCACAGAACCTCAGGTAGGCAGGGACTGAGGCTGGAGGACCTTGGGAAGATCCATCCCAGTACATCTCATGGTTGGAGGCCTGGGACTGGGGATTTCTGCAATGTAACAAGAGTAGCAGGTACCACCCACAGAAGTATCTAGATATCTTATATTTATGCCCAGGTATCACCCTAGGACTACCCAAAAGCCCTATTTGAGCTGAACACTGCTGGTGCAGACATGCAAAGGCAGGACCTGCTCCAGGGGCTCTCAGCACCCAACTGGCATCTGGTCCCAGATGTGCCACCTCGGGGTGGGCGAAGAACCCAGCCTGTCCTCTGGGCTTTCAGAACTGGTAAGCATCTCATGCACTCTCTTTGTGCTTGGGCAGTTACCTGAATGACCTGGAACGTCTGGTCACCCCTGGCTACGTCCCCACAGAGCAGGACGTACTGCGCTCCCGAGTCAAGACCACCGGTATCATCGAGACCCAGTTTGGCTTCAAGGATCTCAATTTCAGGTGTGCCAAGCAATGGGAAAAGGGCCGGTGTCAGTCCATGCAGCCTTTCAGGGTTAAACATACGCTTCAGTAGCTAGCTTCACACTTGGGTGAAAGCAGACCCAAGGAGGCAGGCTGACGAAGAATGGGACATTGAGTCTGGACAGGACCCCAAGAGACTCTGGGTAATGGAGAATGGGATGCTGGGTTATGCAGGGACCCTGAACACTTTGTTAGTTTAAAGACATACTCCAAGGTTGGGAGCCACTCCATGTCAGCTTTGGCCCAAAGCCATAGCTAGCCAGTGAGTACTCTTGCTGACTATGACACAGGTGTGCTGATGACTGCACATTTTGGGCAGCTGTCATGGTTGGCACTAATCAGGACAGGATGGAGCATGGGAATCAATCTCCCTTGCCACTCTCTCGTGTTTGGTCCTCCATGGCAGAGCTCATGAGAGGTGTGGTAAATTTGTCCTGAACCTGCTCTGTGGAGAACCAGTAGCTTTCTCCACTGTCACAGGATCCACCATCATGTCCCCACCATGGAAATAGGGTCCTGCTACCTCCTGTGCACAGATCTCCAGTGATCTTGCACACATCAGACTATGGACTCACCTATGGACAGCCCCAAGCTGCCATTAAGCACAAACAGTTAGAGTCCAGCTATGGACAGCACCAAGCTGCCATTAAGCACAAACAGTTAGAGTTGCCCTGTAAGAAGGTGCCCAGGGGGGAAAGGGAAGCTGTAGCTATGGCTGCAGGTCTGGAAGGGGGAGCTATGCTCTCCAGAGGGGTCTCCCTTTCTGCTGGTGATGCAGTGGGTCAGGTCCTGAGCATGGCTGTTCACAGGTCTCCTTCTTTCTCTTGGCAGGATGTTTGATGTAGGTGGCCAGCGCTCAGAGAGGAAGAAGTGGATTCACTGCTTTGAAGGGGTCACATGCATCATCTTCATCGCTGCCCTCAGCGCCTACGATATGGTCCTGGTGGAGGATGATGAAGTGGTGAGTAGATCTCAGACTCTGGACCCAGGTTAGAACAGCCTGCAAGATGGGGGGCAGGGGTACAGGCTACCAGAGATGCAATCCACTGGCAGTGGCTGACACAGAACCCATCCTTACCCGGCTGTCCTGGAGATAACGCACCTGCCAAAAAGGGTCTGAGCAGAGCAAAAACCGTGCTCCTGTGACACTATCCTTGCTGCCACACAGAGAGGACTCCTGAGTCATGCAGAACCCTCTGAAGCCAGCCCATCACAGAGGGCTTCCAAACATACACAGACCAGTGTGGTGCAGGCCAAAGACCCTCCACAACCTACCAGCTTTTAGTGTGGATAAGACACACATGGGAACCAGCATTAGGCACCTTGAACTCCCACCCTGAATGACCAGGACCTGTTTAAAGCTGGGTCAAGTGGGAGCAGCCTTTGGCCTCAGTTCAAAATGGAGCTCAGACTTGCAAGGCTGGAGCCATGGCCATGTTACCACTACAGCCCTGTCTATTTCCCCTTCTGTAATGTAGGAAGAATGATACTGACTGACCTCCCTTGCAAAGTGCTTTGTAGCTAAAAGTAGTGGGTTTTGTTATTAGGGGCCCAGACTTGCCAAACTTAGGCAAATAAGATGACAGGGATTGTAACATGCAGGGCCTGTGCCTTGCCCTTGACTGCAGACATACAGAGTGAGTGGCTTGAGAACTGGTCAGCCATCAACTTGGCCTGGCTGCCTCCCTCATTTCTCCAGAGGCTGGTAGAGGCTGTAGAGAATCACCACATATGACATAATGAAAGAAACCTCACATTGTCCCCTGTTCCACCCAAGAACCGCATGCACGAGAGTCTGCACCTCTTCAACAGCATCTGCAACCACCGCTACTTTGCCACCACCTCCATCGTCCTTTTCCTCAACAAGAAGGACGTCTTTACAGAGAAGATCAAGAAGGCCCACCTCAGCATCTGCTTCCCGGACTATGATGGTGAGTTTGCAGCCTGCAGCAGGCCTTTGGCATGGCAAAGCTGGCCCTAAAACAGCTGAGATTGAACCTCATGGAGGCTTTGCCACTGACTCTGTTCTGGCTATGCTATGCTTTTCTCCAGAAAGCAGAGAGGAGGCCAGGTGTAATCCCAGAACTAAATGGGAGAAAACAAAAAGAAGAGACATTACAGGCCCCAGCAGCATCAGTCAGCATGCTGCCCACATGGATTATCATGGAGCATAGGGAATAGCTAGGGTGACCACCTTGTCAAAATGGAAAGACGGGACACATATCCACCCCACCCCCCATCCCCACTGGCGGCACGGCCAAAGCAGAGCCGAGCAAAGCAGGGGCAGATATGAGCTGACCTCTGCAGCTTTGGGGCTCCCCACCCTGCTACCTTTCCCCCAGGAGCCCCACGCCAGCCGTGTGCCCCCTGCCTACCCAGCAGCAGCAGGGGGATGCTGCCACTGCCCTTGCTGTTGCTGAGAGGGCAGAGGGAGCCTGGCCATGGTGGTATAGATAGTGCAGAGCTCCCAGGGAAAAGACAGCAGGGCAGGAAGCCCTGAGGCCACAGTGGGCATCCCACATCTGCCCTGCACACAGATCTGAGGGGGCATGTGCCCCACCATATCCCCTCCTGGGAGTGCATACAGTGGTGGGGCACCCCCCCAGATGAGCTGCCTGTGGCTCCATCCTGCTCCATGCCCTGGCCCCAGGCCCCAGGCACCACCCTGGCTGGGCAGCACCTCCAGCCCCTGCCCCATTCCTTCCCCCACTGTGGAGACCTCAATCTGTGCCCCTCCCTCCCCATGTACCCTTCCCCCATAGAGTTACCTACAGGGAGCTATTCTCCATGCTGCCTGTCTGTCTTGCTGGCCACATGCATGTGTGCAGGCATGCACATGCACATGGAGCCCCCTGCATCCTGCTCCCAGCAGCCCCAAGCAGCCCCTTGCAGGCTGGAACACTGCCATCCTGCAAGGGGAAACCCACCATTTCCCCAGGTTTTCTGTGGTAAACAGAAAACCTGGATCCCTGAACAACACTGTGAATCTGGGATAAATGCTGACCTGGAGTCATGCAGCCTGGGTCCTGGACTTGATGGTCCCATTCTGGGACTGTCTCACCCAATTAGGGACGGGTGGTCACTCTAGGGGTTGCTGATGGTACAGGTCAGAAACCAATCTCACTAAATACTCAGCCAGCATTATGGGTCTAGTGTGCAGCAGCACATGCCTGTGTTTTACACAAATGGCCACTAGATGTCCCCACTGCCCTGGACAAATGCACCCCCACCCGCCTCAGGTTTCTCCTCTTGGTGCTGAGCCCCAGACGGGGTTCCTAGGAGGCTGAGGGGACAGGGATTGGGGACTGGCCTTCTGAGTATATGGACAGTAAGAGGCCCCAGGGTTAGAGGGTAAAATTTTGAGGAGGGTCCTGACCCTGAGGTCCCCTGCCTTGCTCCAGAGTCCTTGGGGTTCTAGCATTGGGATCAGGGGCTGGGAGGACTGGGATCTCTGGGGTCTCCAGAGCATTGGGTGCAGAGTCATGAACCCCAAAGCTGCAGGAGGTGGAGCAGTCCCTGACTATGGACCATCCTGCTCCATGCCCCAGCCCTAGGCCCCATGCAGCACAGATCTGGGGGTACAACCCCCTCCCTCCCCCCCCGTGGCCTCCCAGGCTCTTCGGAGCCACTTCTAGGAGGCTCTGGGAAACATCAGCACCCCACTGAACTCTGTGAGTTTAGCGCAGGCAGCCAGCTCCTCAGCTTAGTCAGCCCCTAATGCTGTTCTGCCAATGTGACCCTACAGGACCCAATACATATGAGGATGCAGGCAACTACATCAAGGTGCAATTCCTGGAGCTGAACATGCGCAGGGACGTGAAAGAAATCTACTCGCACATGACCTGTGCTACTGATACTGAGAACGTCAAGTTCGTATTCGATGCCGTTACCGACATTATCATCAAAGAGAACCTCAAAGACTGCGGTCTCTTCTGAGCCCAGGTACCACAGGCCTCCTCCCTCCTCTCCCAGGGGCTGCAGGCTCTCTTGATCCCCACATACCATGTCCTCCATCTCCACTGTGGTTCCCTGCACTACAGCATTGAGTGGGCTGAACAGAGAACAAGGGAGGGAGCTGTGGTCACTACCTACTCCTGGCAAGAGCTACTGTTGGCCTTGTATGAGCAAGATGGAGGATGAGGAGGAGCCAGTTAATGGGGCTGGGGGTTGGACAGTGAGAATAAGGAAACGCTGTAGAGAAGGTGGGTGGTGGGACTTTAACACCAGGGGCCCTGGCCACCCATGTTAGCCTGCCAGGGCATGGTGTTGTGTCCAGTACCCTTGCCTCCAGCAGGAAGACTACAGGGCTTGGGCTGTGACTATAGGCTCAGGACCACTGCACTAATCCTTTCCTGTTACTCAGGAATGGCAGGAAATCTCACTGTCAGGTGCTTCCAGCTTCCTCATTCCTCTGGGGCTGGGCCAGGCTGGAGGTCCTGAGGGGAAAAGCAGCACCCTCAGCCCCAACTCTTGCCACACAAGAGGTGGAGCTGGGCCCTCTTGGGATAAAGTCCGGGGCAGCGCGCTCTGGTACTCAGGCCTGTTCTTGGAAAGCAACTGAGACTCCACAGCAGGCAGGTGGATGTTCCAGCTGCCTCCAGAACAATTATCCTGCCATGCTGCCCCACAGCGCCCCGTCCCGCCTGCAGCTGGCAGAGGTGCTTGGTTAGTGCTTCACCATGCTGGACAGTCAGAGCAGGAGGTGCTGCTTAAAGCTGCCACCAGGTAGTGTGGGGGTGGGGAGCAGGCAGCCACGCTAGCCACAGGCTCACAGTAGTTACAGGCCTGGTCACAAGTGTGTCCTCCCACTCTGGTGCCATCCCACCAGCCCACATAATTCAGCCTCCTCATGGGCCGTGTCCAGCATATGGGAAAGGCCTGGGCAGAAGCTCATGCCAAAGTCTGGGCAGATGCTCAGAAGGCCTGGGCCTTCACTTCTGTCTCCTCCTCAGCACCCCCAGCATTGTCACCCTCAGATGGTATCAGGTGTACAACCGCAGGCCCCTGATTGCCCTCACCTAGAGCCTTGGAGCTCCCTCCTCTGGCCCACAACTGCTTTGGAAGTAATTCTGAGCATGGGCAGAGGTGCACAGGGCCAAGTCGCAGATGAAGGGGGCAGAGGAGGCTGATGGGCGGTGGTTGGGGAGAAGCTGGAGGAGGGAGCTGGTCCCAGCTCTTCTGACTCAAGACAAGCCCCAGTTGTGCTGAGTTCCCAGTATGGAGCTGACTCCCTGGGGAGGTTCCCATGTTCATAAGAAAGCAAGCTAGAGCTTCCCCTGTTGCGTGGAGCTGAAAGTGCCCAACTGGACTCCAAGGGCTGGCCCATGACCCCCTCCCTACCTCCCTGGCAGAGTCAAGTCAGTGCCAAGGTGCAGAGTGGATATGGGCAGAACTTGGCTCAGGCTGCTCTCTGCCCAGTGAGAAGGAGGCCATACTAGGAGCCAATTGCCCTGCCAGGGCATGAGAGGTAGGGCCTACACCAGCCAGCCCCTTGCGATCTGATATGTTCCTGCTTGCTCTTATCCAGCAACATCATAACCAGCCCCTCCCCATCCCTCTCTCTACAGGCCTCCTGGGGCCATGACGACATCTTACCAAGAGCACAGACAGCATCTCCTGGACCCAGCAGCTGAGGGCTTCTGCCTCAGCTCTTCCCCTACGTAGCACAGTGTGGAGACCAACCCCTGCGCTGACACCAGCACCCTCACCTGCACCGCACAGCACTGCATTGGACAGGCAGGACCAGGCCCAACCCTGCACTGCCACTGCCACCCCCACCCCACACTTTACAGTAGGGGGGATCCACCCCTTTCTCAGCACTGACAGGCTATTTCTGGTACCTTCTTTTACAATGATCCAGATGCTGAGGAGGTGCTGCTAGAGCCAACCCAGCTGTGCAGGGAGGGTGCATGTGTGGCATCTGTGCTAAGTAGTGACCCCCGCCCAACTCCCCACGCAGCCATTAGCCCTCATGCACAGTGCCCCCTGTTGCAGCACTCCCACACCTCCTGTGCTGCTGTCCACTCTGGTTTTCTTTCCCCTGTTGTGATCCTGGCACAGCTGCCCACTCATATGGCCAGTGAAACTCAGCCCACCCCCAAGCATTCCCTTCAGAGCTCTGATTGCACCCTTGGGGACATCCCACCTGGAGCAGTTCAGCTGTGGCGGCTAAGATGAGCCCCAGCCATGGCTTGTCGGTCTGTCTGACCACCCACATTTGGCCCCTGGGATGCACCAAGGTCATCTTGTCCAGGTTGCTTGGTGGCACCTACTCCTTCCACTCTGTAGCAGAGGACCCCCTGCTCTGGGCTTCCCACCCCCAGCCCCTAGGTGAAGAAATGTCTCCCATGTGACCAAGGCTTGAGATGTGGTCACCTCCTTTCCCCTCCAGTCCTCTTCGTCTTGCCCCAAAGAGGAAGGGGCCAAGCAGCACTCTGTGCTCAGGGGGACGGACAGATGCCAACACTAGGGATGGGAGGCAACAGCAACAGCAGCCCCCTGGTCTGTATCCACAGCTGGGCCAGCTTCTAGCCACTTGCCAACTAGCCCAGCTGACCCCAGACAGGCAGCTGGGTTGATGTAGTATGAATTACTGGATGAACTTGCCCACTGGAGAGAACTTAGTGCTTGGTGCCCCCCACCCTTGCAAAGCACTGGCCCTACTCTAGGGCCAGAGGAAGCAGCAGCAAAGGGCTCCACTACAGGGGTGCTGCTGTGCCCAGAACCCATTTACCCCTGATCTCTCAACTGAGATTCCCATTGCCATGTGGATCCTTGTCCACATGAACTTGGACCAAGCCTTCCCCCTCCATTCACCCACCCTCAGGCTCTGGGAAGGGGTGAGTGGCAGTGGGTCCAGCTCTGGCCAGGGTATGGTACCACAGCTGGTAACATCCCCCCTGCCCCCAGGCTGGGAAAGAGCTAGAGCCCACCCACATCGCTCTCTTAGGCTCAGAGGAATATTTTGCAATATGCCAGGGGGTGTGGGAAAGGGTGAACCCTCTGCTCCTGGTGCTTTGTGATTTCAGCTGATTCTTGACCCCCCCACCCCCCTTTAGGGCAGGGCCCTGGCACCTGTCACACTCCATTGCACCCCACTTGTCCAGCGACAGCTCCTTGTCAACCCCACCACCAACCATCACACACCCTTCCATGTGCAAACATTTGTCTTCACCTCCTGGTCACAGGGAGGCAGGTCACTCTTGGCAGGCAGATCCCTTGCTTTCTAGAAGGCTCTCTTGGCTATTAGCACCCCTCCCCTACTCTACCCCTGCATGGGCAGAGTTAAAGGGAAACAGCCCGCTTGGAAATCTCCCCACAGCTGGAGCACTGAAAAGGGAACACAGCTCCCTGCATGCCTGAGCCCAGGACATTGTTTGCAGTGGACTGTGGTGTAGCCTAGCTTCCTGTGTACACAGCGATGGCTTCAGCTTTCCCACCAGATTTCTGCTGGTTCTGGGTCTGGAACGTTTTACCAGTGGCAATTGGGTGAGATTTAAAATAAAGTATCTTTCAGGCATATGGGGGTGGGGGTGGAATTGTCTGTTGTGTCCAGTGAATCCTTGTCCCCTAGCAAATGTACTCTGCTGCATAACATTTTCCTGGCATGAAGCGCTGGTGCCCGCGATCCTGTAAGCATATCCAGACAGCACTGCAGCCAGTTCGTTTTCTACCTGGGATTATATCACATCAGATTTATGAATAAAAAGATTTAGCAACACCTTTCACTTACTCCAGACCTGTGGTACAGTGGGAACCAAATTGTCTGGAACAGGGGGCTCCCTGGTTAGGGACAAGCCTCAATGTCTCAATTGCTGTGCATTGTCAGCTATCTCCCTCCACCAAAGGGCTCCCCTCTGCTACCAGTTGTCTCGAGCCTGGCTATGCTTTACTACAAAAAGAGAAATGTTTGCTCCACTGGCTGTTTGCAAATAAACCAAGACCCAGCAGTAATGACTTCCAGGCTGGAAACTCATGCCAGTCAGGGGAAGGGGCAGGGAATTTGAGGGTACCAGGAACACCAAAATGGCATATATCAGCCATTGTGTCTTCTCTTACCAGAAACCCTGGGCTGTGAGGTTCCTCAGCTGCAGTCCCAAAGCAGCCAAGGTTCAGGTCCAGGAGATGTCCATGTGGCATCTTGTGTTAGCATGGTAGGTCCAGGATCCCAGAGAGGCTGTTTGTAAAGCACTTGGTTTTCCAGGTGGGCTCGTTTCAACTCAGGGGTCAGGTCCCTAGAATTACAGGAACTAGGCGTCGTGAAGAGTTACTGGTGATTAGGGGGTTCCCAGAAGCATTTCCCAGGGACCTGTCATCGGTGAAAGGCCAGCATGTTGGCCAGCTGCAACAGCTCAGTGCTTTCAGGCTCCCTGTGAGAGAATGAAAGTATGCAGGGGTGGGCAGATTCAGTGCTGGAGGACAGGTCCTGCATAAACTATCCTTATTCCACAGGCCTCAGTGGACCCATCACCCCCAACACTATCCTAGCACTGTTCTGACCCCTCAAATCTAAACACATAGACCTCTAGTCCAATGTTGTATAGTCCCTTCTGCCCCCCATTGCCACTGCCCCTGCCTGATACTTGATGCAGTACAGAGATGGCCAATCCACCCAACAATGGATGGGGACCTGCCTTCGTGTCACTTGGTTCTTGGATTATAAGCAGAGAACGAGTTTACCGCTCATGATTTAAATGACATGTGAAACCAGGACCTAAGCAGCACCATTTATGATGGCCCCTTTCACTGTCTTCTTCTGCCACTACCTCAAACTCGCCAATGGCAGGAGAAGGCCCAGACAGACTCCCCTTGGGAGTCAGCTCCACTTTGGCATCCCCCACTGCTCCAGTCTGCAAGAGGAACCCAGGTTCCCCCCTCCTCCCCCAGTATTGAGAAACAGTGCCACCTCTAGTTTGGTGAGGCAAGAGGTGAAAAAAACTGGCATAAACAGAGCATTTTCTTTCTACAATTTTATTATTTCAAACCGTGTGAACAATTTTGGTAAAACATCATGTGATAAAAGCTAGGCTGCGTCCACTGTTTGCTATTAGCCCCTACTGGCTCTCGATGAGAGACAAGCTGGGGGCTGCTTTTGTACAGCAGTGTTTCTTCAACCGACGCTACAGTTAGAGCTAAGAAACTACGTTTAAAACAGAGTTGACAGTACAGCAACCTCGTGAGCAACCCTGCCTGCTGGCGAGCAACAGGGAAGGAAAGGAATGAAAAAGAAGTTGACAGGATCACCACCACTTAGTCCTTCACTGGCATCTTAGCCCTTAGAAACCTAGTTCTTGCTGATGGGAAGAGACATGTTTAGAGGTCCTGGGATGTGTGCTCTCCCTGGATGGGGACTGCTCCCAGCCTGTGGCGAGGGAGGGGGGGGGAGAAGAGGAGAGATGAGGAAAAGGGACATTTTATTTTAACCCAATTCCAAAAACACAAACATGCCAGAGCAAATTATGGAATAGATGTAAACGTACAGACAACCTCAAGGCACAAAATTTTTACTGTAGAAGATTCTGTGAAGACAACTTGACCACTTAGTACTTGACGCTTTAAATAGTTTTTAAAAAGATTTTCTTTTAAAAAGCAACGTAAAATAAGCCTTTTTTAATTTTAAATTTTTAAAGGAATGTTGGTTTGTTGTTTTTTTTCTTGCTGGCTTGTGCAAATTACAGGAGTGCAGGAGACCGGCTGGATCTCTGCAGTGAAGAGAGCCACAGTTTAAATGTAAACATTTGGAAGGTGATTTCTTTTAAATTAATAAAAAGGATGATTTGAAGCAATTTCAACCAGTTAAAAAAAAGTAGTAAAAATTTGGGTTTCCTCATTCAAAAAACAAAAAACAAACCCATTGGAAAACCTGCAAGCTCATGTTCCAAAGGAAAACAGACTGAAGTGTTATGAACTATAGCCACAGTTTTGTGATCCATGAGTAAGTCTTTGTGGGGATGAACTGGAGAGAAAACTAATGAACAGGTTCAAATACAAAGCCTGGAAGCAACGGCTGAGGGAACAGTGGGGAAAAACAGAACCTGTCTCTGCAATCATGGTCATTAACCAAAGTCTCTTCATTGGGGGAAAAAAGAAACAAAAAAAATGAGAAGCAGAAGTCATTAAATGATGCAGTCCTTTCTTTATCAGCATCAGCCTCTTCCTCCTGGTACAAAGCAGTTCAAGTAATCCTAAAGGGAGAGAGACACCCATGAACGTTATGCTGGGGAGGATGGGGGAAGATGCTTTACCACTAATACACCAAAACAGATTGTTAATCTGTGGGCCAGATCCAGGGAAAAGTGATGGTGGCAGCTGTTTTCTAGCACTTGCCCCTCTCCCCCACTCCTCCCCACCCCCACCCCACCTCTGACCCAAACTAGGTCAATCTGGCCCACAGCCTTAAAAAGTCGCCAACTGCTGCACAGAAGGGCTGTAACCTCAACTTCTTGGTGTCCTTTATGGGCCTTCCTACACAGCCCTCTACAGGGGAAGAGCTGGTGGCAGAACAGGACAAAGCAATGGTCCAACTTCTCCAGATCACAGTTGGAGCCTCCTGCTATGTGGATCTGTCTGCAGTGTTGGGGTACAGTGCAATCCCCAAGTGCACCTGGTTTTATAAATCAGTGTCCAGCAAGCCCGTCTGCTAGAGCTACCCTCCCCATAGCATTTTGTGGGCTGACTTAGCCACAGAACCCCAGGCATTGGCCCCTTCTTGCCACCTACCTGCTATCATGCCCTCCCAGGCCCTCCTGAGCCTTCTGCATGGACTCAGGTGTGTGGCAATTATCCCCAATGAGATGCGAAGGCAACAAGGGGTAGGGGTGTCCCTACTCTACCAGCTGCCTTCAGAAAACCCCATGTCTGGGCTTGCTGCACTGAAACAGGACCATTGCCTGCTTGCCCTCAAACCCTAAATGCACTCCAGAGCACCTTTGGGCTTCCCACCAGAAATCACTAGGACAACCACTTGATGCTAAGGAGGTGATGGCTGGCTCAGATTCCACTGGCACTGCTCAAATCTGTGCCATGTGAAGCAGGAACACTACGCAAACTACAGACAGAGGCTGCCCTTCTCTCTTGTACACAGCAGCCCCTCTGTTTCTCCTGTACTCCTCTTCCTCAACCCCCTTCTGCCAACAAGATCTACCATAACCTGATGCTCATCCATTGTTGATGGGAGGGGACATCCTTGGCCCTGTTCCATGCAGCACAGCTGTGGCCCACTTAGCTCACCAGGACTACTTCAAAAGGAGGCTGTACATCTGATTGGACACCCTAAGGTGCAACTTGGCAGGAGGGGACTGACAGGTCTCCAGATGACTGTCCTGGCCACTCATGTTGCCTTTACACTCCTGAAGACAAGGGGAAGGGATGCTGCCTCTCCATGAAGAAGGCAATGCAGTAGGACTACTAAGTCCTGGGCTATGAGGGGTGCTGGCATGCAGGATTTGCGCTCCACAGCCTTCCCACCTTTCAGGCACACCATGGCCACACACTCTTCTCTCCCCTCCTCTCGCACCCATGCCAGCTGGCCACTAGGCACCTCCCCCCCAGACCCTTCCCATGGCATCCACAAATGCTAGTGCCAGCCTGTCCATCTCAGATCCCCTCTGTCAGCCTCACCTTCCCACATTACTCAGCAGGTTTAGTTCCTAGATTAGAAAAGACCACAATCCTTCAGGTTGTTTTTGATGATGACATCGGTGACGGCATCGAAAACGAACTGCACGTTCTTGGTGTCGGTGGCGCACGTGAAATGTGTGTAGATCTCCTTGGTGTCCTTCCTCTTGTTCAGGTCCTCAAACTTACTCTGGATGTAGCTTGATGCATCGTCATACTTGTTAGCCCCTGAGGAGGAAGAGAATGGACACAAATGAGCCCATGCCAAGACTCAACCACCCCAAACCCCAAGCTCTGACATGCTGGCCCCTTCCCCACTTCCTGCCTCAGTTTCCTGGCAAAGTGGAGCCTGACCTAATGTGTGCACTGGGAAGGATTGAGCTTTGCCGTAAGAGTGCTGCACAAAGCAGGGCCACCCCTATACATCAGCTGGTGAAGAATGAAGATGCAAGATGGGGTAACAGCCAACTGAAGTAAGAATCCAGAAAGCCCAACAGGTCACTGGGAAGAACCTGTAACACCTGCACTTAATTCTAGCCTCATCTAGGTCTTACCCAAAAACTATCCCTTCCTATGATGGGGAACCCAAAGCTCTAAGGCTTTCACATGTTGATCTTGGCCACCATGAACACAAAGCTTCACAGGCATCATCAACATGCCTAAGCCTCACTTGAATCCCTGTCATACTCTTGGCTTCCGTGAGAACCTGGGGCAGTGACTTCACCCAGTTCTCATCTAACCTGATGAAGTCACCTTTGATCAGCACCTTTCAATTCCCTGCTGATCCCCTCAGATCTTGTATCATTAGGGAGAGCAACCAGAATCCCCAGTCCAGAGGCATAAAAAGCAGATAGATGCCCAGGGCAGCAGTGATTCCAGTTGCCACCATACCACCAGTGACATCATGTGGCTGTGGCAGCAGCTGCTATTTTGCTGCACCTTCTCCCCAAGTTGGTGCCCCAGTCCAGTTATGCTACTGCCTCAGCCAATCATTACTTATTCTGTGCCTCTATATTTCATCCCCAGTTCCTGTTGTGTGCCATGTCAGAGATGGGGCAAGAACAGTGAAGCTAATACTTCAAGAAGTGTTTCTCCGTTATTTCAGGAAGTACTTATCATGAGGTACTTAGCCCCATGGTCTCTGGGCACTATATATTCTAATATTTTTACCCTTTCTAATATTTTTACCTTAACCCCTATACAGGAGGGGAAACAAAGACTGGAAAAACTAGGGGCTTGTCTATGCTGGGACACTCTGGCAAATTTATCCAAACTAATTCAAGATAGATTAGTTAAACATTAAGTCTCAATATAGATGTTCTTGACCTTAGGTTGGTTTTAAATTTATTTTCAAAGTGCATTAAGCTAAACTGAATTAAGGGTTGTTTAATGCAATTCAACCAAACCACTTTCCGGAGCATCCCAGGCAGACCATACACATTCCTTAGTAGACAAGCCCAAGGACATGCTGGAATGCTGTGGCAGAGAAGGGATCCAAGCCCAAGCATGGCTCCACTCTTTCTTCCACCCACACCTTGCTAAGATGACCACTACTGTGGTGATCATTGGTGATGACAGCTGTGCACTGGGCAGAGAGATGTATCCAACATCCCTTGATGACAGCAGCTACAATTAATAACTCAGCAATCAAGTGCATCCAAGCTGTTCCCTAATGTGCACCTCAGCATTTGCCAGCACTAGGGTCACAGAGCTGCCTGCTCATCAGCTTTGCCAGTTTCCTCCCAGTAAGGGATGGAAGCCTCCACATTTTGCTTTCCAGCAGGTTCTAGATACTTTCACTTCTAGGCTGGCGAGTAGGTGCTCAGTGGCTCCAGTGCTGGGCAGAAAATGTAACAAAGCAGTGCCTGTTTCATATAACAATGACAGTCATTGGTTCTGTCTAAAGTGTAGACACATTTTCAGTATCTTGGTTTTCATTAGACAAAACTTCCTTTTGTGATAATCTGCATGTTGAACCTGCTCGTTAGTACTTCTACTGCAACTACATCTAGGGTCCCCAAGAATAGAATCAGAGGAATGAAAGGCTGGGAGATACTTCAAGGGCTTGCCCCATCCTACCTCCTGCTTTGAGGGACCTAAGAGCACTGCTGCCGGATGTCGGGGCGACCTGCTCTCAACAACCTCCAGTACCAGGAACTTCATGACCTCTGTAAGTCACCTGTGTTAATGCTCAACTAACCTTATAGTTTTCCCTAAATGCTCCCCAATATCTAACCTAAACATCTTTCTTTCTACAAATTAAGCCGATTTCTTCTCATCCTACCCTCCCTGATCACAGAGAACAACTACTCACTGTACTCTTTATGTACTTTGTCTTATTTTATATTTGTGTTTGATTTTGATGTTATTTTTTACTTTGTACATGTTAGAAAATTATCATACCCCCTTCAGTCTTCTAGACTAAACAAACCCAATTCTATCAGTCTTGCCTCAGAGACCATATTTTCTTATCCTCTTAATTCTTATTGCTTCTTCTCTAGACTCTCCAGTTCGCTTACATCTTCTTTAAAAAGACAGTGTGCAATACTCCAGCTGAGACCTCACCAGCACCACACAGAGCAGAATAATGATCTCCTGTGTTTCACATCAAACACTCCTGTTAACATCTTTCTCACTGCGACATCTGCCATTTTTGCAACAGAATTGCACTGTCAGCTCATTCAGAATTTGTGGCCCACAATAACAGAATTTGCGGGCCCCTCCCCACTTCACCTTTCCTGCTGTGTAGCTGCTCACCTTACTCGTTGTTTTGTATTTAAGAATCTGATCTTTCCTTCTTATGTGCAGTACTCTGTATTTGTCTTTATCAAGTTTCATCTCATTCATGTCAGCTCTCTAAATTACTAAGATCATTTTAAATTCTCTCATCCTCCTCTGTCACAAGAGCCCCTTCCAGCTGGGTGGCATCCCCACACAGATTGTTCTCATTACTCCATCATCTTCATCTTTAAAGAAAATACTGAATAGGATTGGGCCCCAGGTAGAACCTGTAAGACCACACTTAAGATCTCCCTGTTCAGCAATCAGTAATTGATGGCTGCTGTCAGTACAATTTTCCAAGCAGCAAGGTTAAATTTTTTTTTTTTTTTTTATCTGAACCGTATTTTGCTAGTTTGCTTATTACATGGCCATCGTGTGGAACAGTCTCAAAAGCTGTGAGTCAAGACATATCACATCTACTGCTTCTCTCCTACCTCCTAGGCCAGATATCCTGTCAAAAAAGGAAATTAGATTGGGTTGACATGATCTGCTTTCGACAAATCTACGTGGGCTGTTTCTTATTACTGTATCACCTTTGTTTCCAAGTCTGTTAAACAATTTGTTCAGAATCATTCCAGGTATCACAGTGAAGCCGACTGGTTTATAACTCCCTGGGACCTTCGTTTTCTCTTTTTTAAAGGTGTGAAGTTTGTCCTTCTTCAGTCCTCTGGGACCTCCCTCTCATCATGAAGATAATCACTAATGCTGCTTGCAGATGTTAAAAAACAAACAACAAAAAGCACTTTACCAGAAGAAGCAGCGCATTACTTCAACCTGGCTCTGCAGTATCTGTAAAGATCGGGCACTTCACTGGGGCTTTTTGGTGCTTTTGTCTAATAGCTGATTCAATCAGCTATTAGATAAAAGTACCAAAAAAGCTCCATTAAAGCACCCAATCTATACAGATGTTAGGTGAGCCAGGTCCATATAACATGCTGCCTCTTCCGGGCATGTGCTACACTTAGCATGGGAGCACGGGGAATTTAAAGTGCTGTTTTGTTTTGGTTTTTAAAGTCTGCAAGCAGCCTAATGGACCAGAATACAGGTTTCCCTTGCCAACTACTGTTTCGAGTATCCATGGTTAATATTCTATACACCATTTTGGCTACTGTGGTATACAGTTTTGAGTAACCACAGTTTTCCGCAGGTGCGCATCAGCCTGCCAACTCCCTGGCCCTGCTCGTGACTCTCCTTCCTCTGCCCCATAGCTGGAGGTGGCCCCAGGCCTGCCGGAGGTGCACGCAGTGGCGGGGAGCTGCCCTACCCGCAGTGGCAGGGAACAGCAGGCTCCCTTGCCACTGTTCCCTGCTGCCCTGCTTCCCTCCCCAATGACACGGCCCGGCAGGGAGCAGAAAAGCTGCACGGGGATCTCCTTAGCAGCCGCTGCTCACCCCATGCTGCCCCGGCGACATGCCTCCTGTGCCTGCTGCTGGTTTGAGGGGCACAGCCCCGAACCGCTGCCCCGGGTGCAGGAGGCACAACGCCAGGGCAATGCAGGTTGAGCAGCGGCAGGCGAGGAGATCTCTGTACAGCTTCTCTGTTCCCTACCATGCTGGGTCGTGGCGGAGGGAAACAGGGCAGCAGGGCCCAGGCCGGGTTGTGTGACAATCTGAGCCCGGTGGTTCATCCAGGGGCACGGGCGGGCGGCTCTCACTACTGCCGGGCTCAGACTGTCCCATGACCCGGCCCAGCCAGGGCCCCAGCTGTGGGCTGCTGACAGGCCAATTGCGCGCCACCAGGGGTGGGCACAAAACACCCCCACCCTGCCATTCAGACAGGTGGGGGCAGGGAACTGCTGTGATGTGCTGTGCAGGGCCAGACAACGTGTCCCTCTCTTTCCCCCTCCTTATAAGAGGCGAATGCACTGGGGGAGATGCTGCCGCTGTGTCCTGGGCGCACACTGTCCCTGCCCACCGGTCCGTACCCCTTAAAACCTATCTAAGTACCCCTAGGGGTATGCCTATGCCCCGTTGACCACCCTGTGTATTAAAGTTAAGTAAAAATGATTTTTATACACTATACTGTACAGTATTCAAATCCCCAACCCCATTTTCCCCATAAGCCTTTAGTTTTACCAACTGCGGTTTTGCCAACCACAGGAACTTTTCAGAACCTAACCCCCGCGGTTGGCAAGGGAAACCTGTACTTCAGCTAGTCCCTTGAGTGCTCTGGGGTGAGTTTTCTTAGGCAGTCCTGCCGATTTGACTAACTCTAACTTATCCAACTGTTTTTTAACCTGGACCCTATTTCTGGATCAGGACATGCTAGTCCTTTGCTTCATTCAGGGTCAAAGGTAGAACAATTTAGGTCACTTGTGCAGATGTAACATTTACAGCACAACAGCTGCTGCATGCTCTTGAGAGGCAGTTCACCCTCCTCTTTTACCGTCGCTAAAAGGTCTGTTTGCCCACCCCATGGGGTTGGCCACACTGCCTGTTCTCTAGCAC